GATTTATTTCATTTATATGAGTATACTGTAGCTGTCTTCAGACACACCAGAAGAGGGCATCAGATCCCATTACAGATGGTTGTGAGCCACCATGTGGTTGCTGGGAATTGAGGTCACGACCTCTCGAAGATCAGTCAGTGCTCTTAACCACTGAGCCATCTCTCCAGTCCCCCTTTCTCATTTTTTAAAAGATATATTTTTGTGTATGTGAGTATATGTGCACATGCATGTACAGGTGCCTGTGGAGTCCAGAAGAGACCACTGGATCACACGTACCTCAGCTGAATCTACCTGCATCCTCTGCTCTTTATTCTGCAACAGTCAAAGCAGGGCTGCTTTCTGGATAGAGAACAAAAACATATTGTGTATTAGAAAGTAGTGCGTCCTTCTAAGGCAGCACTCCTCAACTTGTGGATATTGAACCCTTTAATTGGGGGTTGGACAGCTCTTTCATAGGAGTAGCATAAGACCAACATAAAATACAGATATTTACTTTATGATTCATAACAGTAGCAAAATTATAGTTAGGAAGTAGCAATGAAAATAATTTTTTCAAAACAGGATTTTTCTGTTCTCAAAATCACTCTGTAGACCGACCGGGCTGGCCTCAAACTCTTGAGATCTGCCTTCCTCTGCCTCACCCCCACCTACCCTCTCCCACAACAAAGATAATTTTATGGTTGTGGGGACAGCAAAACATGAGGAACTATATTAAAGGGTTGCAGCATTAGAAGGGCTGAGAACTGTTCTAAGGGGTCATGCAGTGATTCACGTATTACTAGACCTTTTTCTTTTAGATTACTTCAGAGTATAAACAGAAAATTATCAGATTATTATTTAGAAGCAACCTGGGTGGTCTCATTCCTAGCACTTAGGAGGTATAGGTATAGGCAGGAAGATTATGAGTTCCAGGCCACTACATAGCAAGTTAAAAGTCTCAAATTTCTTATACTGCAGGACCTGTAGCTAGTGTGAACCCATACTAGCCCAGCTTTTTATATGGGTTATGAGGATCTAAACTCTGGTTCTTAGGCTTGTACAGCAAACACTTTATACTAAACCATATCCTTGCTCTTCTTCACATTAGCTTCTTTTAAACAAAGTCTTCCTGAACTTGGAGCTTATCAATTTGGTTAGACTGGCAAAGCAGCAAGCCCCAGATTCTCCTGCATTACCTCCCAACATTGTGATCACAGGTGTGCACTGCCATATCTGGTTTTTTATGTGAGTGCTAGGAGTTGAAGTCAGGTCCTCATGCTGGATCAGTTCTGTCAGTTTAATAGTAAAGTAATGACAAAGATTCTGTTGGTCTTAGGTTACTCCTGTGAAAGAGTTGTTTAGGGCTGGAGAGATGGCTCAGTGGTTAAGAGAACTGACTGCACTTCCAGAGGTCCTGAGTTCAAATCCCAGCAACCACATGGTGGCTCACAACCATCTGTAATGAGATCTGATGCCCTTTTCTGGTGTGTCTGAAGACAGCTACAGTGTATTCATATATAATAAATAAATCTTTAAAAAAAAAAAAGAAAGAGTTGTTCAGCCTCCAATTAAAGGGTTCAGTATCCATAAGAAATAACACAACAACCACCAAACCAAAACAAACTGCAAACCAGTGTTTGCAGCTGACCCCTGTCTGAGTATGGAGCACTCTTGAGTACTTCTAGGCAGGAGCTCTGCCTTAGCCTCCACTCCCTGCTTAAGCAAAGCAGGCTAGAGGGGACATTTGGGGCTTTGTCAGGTCTTTTCTGAGCCCGTACTCATAGCCTTCTAAGTTCCCAGAATTATATGGAGCTGCTTCAGAGAGAGGATAACTAAGTCCATGTTTACACTAGTGCCCAGCCTCGGTACATGTGGTTCTGTGGTTCCTGACTAATGTGATGTATTCACCATAATGCCTTCTGTGTGTCCCAACCGGACAAATATCATTGTTAAGCATTGTTTTCCAGAATGTCACACAGGTGGAGTCATACAATATTCGGCCTTTTTATGCTGACTCTTATAATCTCTGTGTTTCTGGTCCATCCCTTCCTTTGCTCCCAATCCCTTAAACCTGTTTTGTTTTGCATGTATGGGTATTTTGCCTGTGTATATGTCTATAGAGGTCAGAAGAGAGCATCAGATCCCTTAAAATTAGAGTTGCAGATGTTTGTAAGCTGTCATGTAGGGGGTGAGAATTGAACCCAGTTCCTCTGGAAGAAAAGTCAGTTCTCTAAACTGCCAAGCTATCTCCAGTCCTAGTTAGTGCTTGTTGTTTGTTTTTGAGACAAGGTCTCACTATGTGTCCCTGGCTGGCTAGGAACTTGCCATGTAGACCAGACCTCAAATTTATAGAGATCTTCCTGTCTCTGCCTCCTGAGTGCTGAGATTAAAGGCATGCATCGCCGTGCACAGTATTCACTACTGAATAATGTTCCAGTCACCTGTGAGAGATTCTTTTTTTTTTTTTTTTTTTGGTTTTTCGAGACAGGGTTTCTCTGTATAGCCCGGGCTGTCCTGGAACTCACTCTGTAGACCAGGCTGGCCTCGAACTCAGAAATCCGCCTGCCTCTGCCTCCCGAGTGCTGGGATTAAAGGCGTGCGCCACCACCGCCCGGCGAGAGATTCTTTTTTTTTAAATTTTTTAATTTATTTTAAGTATGAGTACTCTGCATGTATACCTGCATGCCAGAAGAGAGCATCAGATCCCATCACAGATGGTTGTGAGCCACCATGTGGATTGAACTCAGGACCTCTGGAAGAGCAGCCAGTGCTCTTAACCTCTGAGCCATCTCTCCAGCCTCCCTTTAAAAAAAAAAGATTTATTTATTTTGTATTTATATGAGTACACATTGCAGCTATTTTCAGACACACACTAGAAGAGTGCTGATGGTTGTGAGCCCCCATGTGGTTGCTGGGAATTGAAGTCAGGACCTCTGGCAGAGCAGTCAGTGATGTTAACCACTGAGCCAGCCATCTCTCCAGCCCGAGAGATTCTTGATAACAGGTTTGACATCTATGACTAGAACTGTCATGAGCACGCAAGTGTGGTCATGTACTTTGAGCTACACAGGTTGGCTCCTGGGAGAGCGATTGCTGGATGATGTGATATGAGTGTGCCTAGCACTGTGAGAGGCCTAAGGTGGAAGCTTCTCAGAGTTCTTATCCTGCAGTGCACCAACACCCCAGATTTCTCTTTGGCTTAGCAAGTCAGTTCCTTGCCCCAGGCTGTAGTGGCTGCCTTCTTGCAGCTTCTCTTGCAGCTCATCTCCACCCTGAGGAGTTCCCAAATTAGGTCAAATAAGGTCAAGATCTTTGCCATGGACTTTCAGGGAACCAGGACAGGTCAGATGGGAGGCTTTCGTTCTTTAAGAACAAATTCTACTCTGTTCTTCCAGCACCAGAAACCCATACCAGACACATAGCTAACTCTTCAAGACCACTGCTGAGCCAGGGAGTGGGATGGGCTAGGGTAAGTTGGAGCTGTGCTCCATCTGCAGGTCATTTCTTCCTGTAAAGGCCTGCTGGGCCTCTGAACCTTTCACCATTACTAAGAGTTTTGATAAAGATTTTTGTTTTGTTTTGTTTTGTTTTGTTTTGTTTTGTTAGTTTCTCAAGACAGGGTTTCACTGTGTAGTCCTGACTGTCCTGGAATTCATTTTTAGACCAGGCTGGCCTTAACTCACATAGATCTGCTTCTGCCTCCCAAGTGCTGTGATTAAAGGCGTGTTCCATCACCACATGATGCAGTTTTTTTTTTGTTTTGTTTTGTGTTTGTGTTTCTGTGGTAAGATAGGTGGGAATTATTTTAATTCAATTTGAATTTAGTATTTTTCTTTCCCTTTCTTCCCCTTTCATTTCGATAACTCTCCTCTTCTTACCTTCCTTCCCCTCCCCATCCTTCTCCTCTCTCCATCCTTATCTTCCATCCTCCCTACTCTCTTTTCTTCTCCTACTTGTGTTTCCTAGGCCAGTCTTGAACTTCTGGATTCAATGGCTTTTCGCACTCAGCTTCTGGCATGCTAGGTGCATAGGTGGGCACTGATGCATATCCCCTAATCTTTTTTATTTGTTATAGGATCATTCATATATTCTTCTAAGTGAGTTTTGATAATTTGTCTATTTCTAGAAATTTGCTCGTTGATTTTTGTTGTATCTGAGTTCAATGACTAACATAATTGGGTGTGTATTTTGGCTTATCTACTGTGTGAGTGCACTGTCTAAACACAGTTCTTCATAGTACTTCTTTGTAATCTTTTTTATTTAGAAGGTGGTTAGTAATACTTCTCTTTTATTCCTTTTTGGGGGGATCAGGGTGGGAGGATTATTGAGACAGCATCTCATGAAACACAGGCTGGCCTCAAACTATCTATGTAGTCAAGGACATCTTGCCTCCATATTCCAAGTGTGATGCTGGGTAGAGCCTAGAACTTTGAATATGCTAGGTAAGCATTCTACTAACTGAGCTACACCTCCAACCTGACTTCAACATTTACTCTATATTAAATCCCATTGTACTTACTTTTTTGGGGGGCATGGTGGTATGAGACTTTGGCAGTCCAGGCTGTTTTACAGACACAGTGAGCCTCCATTTGGGCAGTGGTATTTCATGTGTCTCCTGGCCACATGGGACAAGTGGAAAAGCATCCCCAGGCTTAAACTTGGACCTGAATGCCCTAATGGACTGAATTGTGCCTGCACAAACTCTGGCTTTGAGTTTTCTTGTTGCTGGCCTGGGGGTTTTCCTTGCTTATCTTTTCTGCCTGGACACACATTAAAGTCTATCTGATCTTTCTAGTGTTTGTAGCTGGAGGCAGAGGACTCTGCAGTCCACCATGTGTTATTCTTCTGTCTAGTTGACAGATGAAGAACTAGGGCTCATGGAACTTGCCCTAGGTCATGCAGCAAGGTTAAATGGCTAAGAGCAGATCCATTTAGGCAACTCCATTTTCAAGTCCACATTCTGCCTACTACACCTACCACCTCTTAATTCTAATACCTCCTTGTTTATTTTCAGAAGCTAGCTGCCAGCAAGGGCTCTCCCCTTCCTGAATCTGGACACGGTTTTGCTTGTCTGGAGACGGGCTCTAGCCAGGACCTGTCAGTGGAAAGTCATGGAGCCATACAGTCTTGGGGAAGAGGGAGCACTTCCGTCAGAAGGGCATCTCCCACCCTTCTCTGAGAGTCAAGGGCTCAACTGCAGTGACACACTCAACCGGGACCTGGGCCCCAGCACACGGGACCTGCTCTATGCTGGCTTAAGCGGTTTGGACCTTGACCCCAGTCTCTCCACATCAGATATGCCCAGTGAAGTGCTGGAGGACAATCTGGACAGCCTGTCCCTATATTCAGGGAAGGACAGTGACTCTGTGAAGCTGCTGGAAGAGTATGCAGACTCGGAATCACAGACCTCCTTACAAGGTGAGGCTGCTCATGGCTGAGCACCTACAGTTCCTGCAGGTAGCCAGAAACGGAATCTTCTGGGATTGGCTAGGAAGGTCTCCTTAGCTGGTCATGGTCATGCCTGCTCATAATCTCAGCATGTAGAAGGCAAACACAGGAGGAACACTACAAATTGAGGCCAGCTAGAGCTACATATTAAGACCCTGTCTCCCAAAACAAACATGCTAAACTAAAGGGAAGGAAGGAAAAGAAAAACTAAACAAAGATCTCTTCTTTTCAGGAGGCTTTTGGCCTACTTTGGAATTGTTCCCAACTTGTGGGTTCTGGGGGTTAAATACAGGTCCTCAGGCTTCCATAGCATGTGCTTTTATCACTGAGCTCACAGACTAAGATCCTGATCTTTTATCTGTGTGAAGGTAGACCATCAGGCCTGTAGGGGACTTCTTTATCACTGCCATATCTCAAGGGCATTCTTCCAGAATAAGTGGGGATCCTGTCCATTCTATTCTGTACTCGTCTAGCTTTTCCAGGCCTCATATACTCACCAGTAAAATAAGGGGACCCCAATCCTCTCATGCCCCTTGCTCCAGAACAACATTGGTGAGTAGTGAAAAAAGAGAAGACTGCTAAAGCCTCCCATAGACCATAATGCACCAGACAGATATTAGGTGCTTGATTAGTTCCTGCTTTGTCTTTTTAAAAGAGAGAGGTCTTGCCATCTTTCCAGAACACTGAGGCTCCAGCAGACCCTTTGCCTCAGTCTGTCCAGGAACCAGGACTATAGATTGTGCCATGCCCAGCTAGTTGTTTTTTTACAACCAATACTGTCAGTAATACTTCATCTTAAATAGGGCCTTGATTCAGTTCCAAAGTTTTCTCTTCAACCATGGAAGAACAAGAGAGAATTGGTGAAATAATTGAGCAGCTTGGGTAAGTCACATTTTGGTTTGCTGTTGGCCTCCTGTGGAAGAGAATTCTTTTGTTTATTTTTGGTTTGGTTTGGTTCTGACCCTCTTTATTGGTTCCTAGCAAGTTGCTTCAGTGGGTTGACTGGGGTAGAGCTCCAGGGAGTTTATAATCCCACTGTTCGTAGGGAAGTCCACATCTAAATGCCTTGAAACTCAGTAATCTGTTGGGATTGTGTCTGAGGAAGTACTCCAAGAACTTGCTACTATGAAAGAGTTCTGCAGGCCCCACTCCAAAGATTACCAAGCAGTCACAGGCCTGTGTTAGTGTTGGAATGATGGCACAGCAGCAAGTCTTAGGAACTTAGAAGAGTTCACATGGGAAGACTGACTGTGGCACTAGCCAAACTCAGGGCTGTGGTATGGCACTCACCTTGGGCCATGGTGATACTGAAATATGCTTGTGGTGATGTGTGCATTTTCCTGGACACAGGAACCTTAATTGTCATCAGTTATTCTTAGGATTCTGCTTAGTTTAGCCTTTCTGTATATTCAACTGTTAAATTGCCCCTGGACCAAGCATTAAATTTCAACTCTATGCTTTTAAAACTTAAATTAAGGCCCATATAAGTAAATATGCATATGTCATTTCTTTTTTCTTTCTTTCTTTTTTTTCTTTTTTCTTTTCTTTTCTTTTCTTTTTTTTTTTTTTTTTTTGAGATGGGAGTTTTACTATAGTAGTGATGAAGCTAAGCTGGTCCTGAATGCCTGGACTCAAGTGATTTTCCTGCCTCAGCCTCCCAAATACTTAGGATAAGGCATGTACTATATCCCCAATTTTTATTTACTTTTATCTGTTTATTTGAGATACTTACTGTGTTGTCCAGGCAGTCCTGAGACTCTGAGTAATTCTCCTGTCTCAGTTTCCCAAGTGCTGATGGCCACTAGTATGAGCCACCACTCCTGACTATATTAATTATTTTAATTAGAAAAGTAAAATGTGCTGGGAGATGTTGGTGCACACCTTTGGTCTCAGCGCTCAGGAGGCAGATGCAGGTGGATCTATGAATTCATACTCAGCCTGGTATAATTCCAGGAGTCAATCCCAGGATAGCTAGGGCTACACAGAGAAACCCTGTCTCTGTGGAAAAAAGGAAAACGTATTTATTATAGAAAATATAGTACAAAGCAAAAAAAAACACCTCTAAGCTATGTAGTACACACATACTTTTTTTGTTTTGTTTTGTTTTGTGGGGACTGCCCACTGTGTGTCCCAGACTGGCTTGAACTGAGCAGTTCTCCTGCCTTAGCTGGAACTACAGGTCTGAACCAATTGGTCTACCTCATAAATCTTTAGTCATGGGTGAAGTTGCTCAGATATATGTTGTTGTTGTTTTTACAGTTAGTACACGTTAAAGGCTCTGAGTTCCAATATCCAACAGTGCACTCACACACATAATTGATAGGATTGTGCTTGCTGTTAAAAGCTTGGTGTGTTAGGATTCTTATGTGAGAGTGGACTGATTGCTATTGGCATAGATGTTCTAATGTGTTGTTATACCACAGTCTTGTTGGATTGTTGAAGAGTTTCTAAGAACAGCTTTAAAAATATTTTATTTTTGTGTATGTGTGAATGCCTGTGGGTGTGTATTCTACATCTATGTAGGTGTCTGTGGAGGACAGAGCAGGCATTGGATCCCCTGGAGCTGGATTAATGGGCAGTTGTGAACTGTCTGACATGGGTGTTGGGAACTGGACTCTGGTTCTTTGCAAGAGCAGCCAGTGCTCTGTCTCTCCAACTCCTGGAGAGAACAGCTTTTTACATACTGAATTTCCTTTTGGATTGGTTCACAACATTCTGCTCACAATTTTTCAGCTTCATGACACTGTTTTCTAGAAAACCCAGGTGACCGTCTAGGCAGCAGCAGGTAGACATTTTTATAAAAAGGTGAAAACCCAAGGGCAGAGCAAGATGGCAAGTGCATTTGATTTAGGTGATGCAGCTCCAGTTAGACATTGTGTGGGTAGGTTGGCTTCCACCCCTGCTTGTCTTATCATACTGCTGCCCTAGAAGCTCATCCTGATGCCATCTCCATACCTCCACATCTTAGACCAAGACCCGGTGCAGTCCTATAGATAAGGCCTGCTCTAGACCTCAGTTCCCTTCTAGCTAAGCCTTGTCTTCTGGCTGTGCAGAGCCCCTGAGGTGGAAGAGTCTCAGACAACTTGGACTGGTTCTGCTGAGGGTCTATATTGCTTTAGCACTCCCCTATTCTATCTCGACATAACCTGTGCTTTCTCCCTTTGTTTAGACCTGGGGCTGGGCGCACTCAAGGTGCCTAAAGAGGCTGATGAAGGAGGCAGGGCCACTGGGAGTACAAGGAAAGGCAAGCGGCAGCACAGTTCCCCTCAGAATCCACTCCTGGACTGCAGCCTGTGTGGGAAAGTGTTCAGCAGCGCCAGTTCCCTGAGCAAGCATTACCTGACGCACAGCCAGGAGAGGAAACACGTGTGCAAAGTCTGCAGCAAGGCCTTCAAGCGTCAGGACCACCTGTACGTCAAGAATCTTGCCAGGAGATGGGCAGGGGGCATGCACCTGTCCTTCTCCTACCCTCTCATCCACCCATCTGGTCCTCTGTTGAGTTCCCACTTCTGTGCTCCTCAGATGTGTGTCCCCTGTCCTCTGGTGTGAACTCTGTTCTCTTCACACTGCTACTGTCTGTCTCTTTACTGAGCCTCCAAATTTACACCAGTGAGGAAATCCCAGCCTCTATTTGCAGACATGACCCTTGTGGTTTATAAAAGTGATGACTTACCAGGCATGATGGCACACTGGGGAGGTAGAGGCAGGAGGAGCAAGAGTCTAAGACCAGCCTCAACTGCATACATTACAAGTTTGAAGCCCACCTGGATTACATAAGAAAAAAAAACAGTATGAATGAAGTTGGCTAACTTGGTAAAGAGATGCCCTAAGTCCCTAGGGGATGTCTAAGGATAACAGGTCTACAACACCCCTCCTCCTGCAAAGAAGCTGTATAAAAATTTAGAACAAAGTTCCCTTGTTATTAATGTCTCTGTTGCTGTGAGGCTCAAGAGTGGGAGAGGACAATGCCTAGCTAGAGGGTTGGGTGGGAGGAGAGGTTTTGATAAGTCTACCTCTCTCTTCACCCTCTGGCCCAGCCTCATCTTAGGCAAAGGACTAGTGCAAAATAGCTCTTTTGAGTCCTTCCCTCATAAGAGCATGGACATTCTCTATAGAAAGACAGTAGTTGCCAGGCAGTGGTGGTGCACGCCTTTAATCCCAGCACTTGGGAGGCAGAGGCAGACGGATTTCTGAGTTCGAGGCCAGACTGATCTACAGAGTGAGTTCCAGGACAGCCAGAACTACACGGAGAAACCCTGTCTCGAAAAACTTTAAAAAAAAAAAAAAAAGAAAGAAAGAAAGAAAAAACAAAAGAAAAAAAAAGAAAGACAGTAGTCATTAAAACCTCCCAGCCATATGCACTGGGATTGTCCAAAGTGCAGCTGTTAGGACCCCAAGGGTAAGGGCTCATTGTTCACTCTGTTATTGTCCACATAAGCAGGAGTAGGCACAGCATATATTTACATGCACTTACACTTCTGCAGGTTATTGACACACTGTCTTTTGGCTCAAGGAAGGTTTTATTAACTCTCTGTTAGTTAGTTTGTTGGCTGAAGGGGGGGAGCTGTTCCAAGAATCTGCCACCATAGACAGTACTGTGGTAGTCCCAGATTGGCATCTCCTCAAATGTACAATACAGAGCTCTGCTTCTCAGGGATGCTGGTGGAGCTATATGACAGCAGAAGTTAAAAATGACCCCCCTACACCCAATGCTTTTGTGAACCACCAAAGTAAAGTGGTGTGTATTCATGTGCGTGCATGCATACTTTAATACATCCTTGTTGTGCCCAGGGTCCCAGAGCTTACCTCTAGAGAACTGTTGTCTCTTGTGAATACACTCTGGGAAGCCTGATCTGGCTTCCATGGGATTTCAGTGTTTGTTAGTGATGAGGGCAGAGAAGTGAGTCCCTCCCAGTTGGCTAGACAAAGTAGGAAGCCTAAGCACTTCCTACATTGCGGTGTGGGGCCTTCCTGGTGACCTCCCTTCCATGTCTCATTACAGGACTGGACACATGCTCACCCACCAGAAGACCAAGCCCTTTGTGTGCATTGAGCAGGGTTGCAGCAAGAGCTACTGTGACTACCGCTCGCTGCGCCGCCACTATGAAGTCCAGCATGGAGTATGCATCCTGAAGGAGGCTCCACCAGAAGAGGAGGCCTATGGAGACCCGACCCACAACCATGATGTTCCCAACCAGCCTCCACCCAGTGGCCTGAGGTCCCTGGGCCCCTCAGAAGCTAGGTCCCCTGGCTCTGTCTTGCCCAACAGAGACCTCCTTCGCTGTATTGTGAGCAGCATCGTCCACCAGAAGATTCCTTCTCCTGGCCCAGCAGTGGGGCCTTCTGATACCGAAGCAAGAAGCTCAGCTTGTGCCTGCCCCACCACACTGGGGTCATCATCATGTACACCGGCCAGCACCCCAGTGGCCCCAGGAACCCTAGGCTCTGAGATTTCTGAGGAAACTCATCCTCCACGGAAGGAAGCTGCCACTGAAGTGTTCACAGGTGTCCAGTCAAGAGCAACTGAGAACGGTGACCCAGATCCACCAGAGTCAGAGTTGGAGTCAGAGTCTCCAAGGCTTCAACGGCCATCCTCCCTAGAGGGCTGGCCAGAGGCCAGCTCTCTGCCTGCCTGCCTGCCTCTCTTTAGAGGTCACTCTGTCCCCTCAGGATCCCAGCCTTCCAGTCACAACTTCCAGTGGCTCCGGAACCTGCCTGGCTGTCCCAAGAACAAAGGAAGCAATGTGTTTATGGTCCACAAGACCCCTGCAGTGGCATCCCGGGAGGGCTCTGAGGGAGGCTCTGGGCCCAGCAGCACCCCTACCTCAGTGGAGCCTTCACCCAGCCTGGGCACCAGCCAGGAGGACCTGCTGCCATTTCCTCCTGCACTCCTAAAGGCCCCTGGTGAGGCCTCCAGTGAAGTCCGGCAGGGAGCTGGGGAAGATGAATCCTGGGCTCCCAAAAAGTGCAAACCAGACTGTGAGTCATTCCCATGGCAGAGCCCCACTGAACTTGGGCTCCAAGATGCACAGAACCCAGGTGGGCTCCCCTCAGATGCCACGCCCCTCTTCCGGCAGCTGTTCATGAAGTCACAGGAGTCTCTGGTAAGCCATGAGCAGATGCAGGTGCTCCAGATGATTGCTAAGTCCCAGCGGATCTTCTCCCATACCCAGGTGGCTACAGCCTCAGCCCAGAGACCAGGGCCTGAGGGCAAGCAGTCCACTCTGAAGCCATTACAGGGGCCATGGCCACCACAAACTCTGCCACCAGTACCCACTGTAGACTCTTTCCAGATAGGCCCAGGACACTCAGAGCCAGAGGGATCCCCAGTCCGCAGGAGGAAAACCATGCCTGCAGTGTCCAGAGAAACATCCCCTGGTGGGCCTAGGCGAGACACAAAAGGAGGCCCCAAAGTGGCCTCTGCACCACCCTCCCTCACAGGGCCAGCTCTGCACCCCTCCCGGAATCCAGACAGCTCTTCGTTGGCCAAAGGGACCTTGGACCTAGGGGACATTATCCCCAGTGCAGGCTCAAGGCAGTCCCAGTTAGGTGGAGATGAGCCAGCTGGAACCCAGCTGGTTGGGAAACAGGGGCAAGGAGAGAATGGCCTGGCTTCAGGGGTCATGAGAGGTGAGAAGGGCCCAGCCTGCCCCCGAGGTGGAGGCTACAGGCTCTTCTCAGGGCACCCCAGGGCCCAGAGGTTCTCAGGTTTCCGGAAGGAGAAAGTAAAGATGGATGTGTGCTGTGCAGCCTCTCCAAGCCAGGTGGCCATGGCCTCCTTCTCGTCGGCTGGGCCTGTTCCAGACCCACCCCGAGACATGAAGTCCAAGCTGACCATCTTCAACAGAATCCAGGTATTTGTAGCCCTCTGTTATGTCTGGGCTGTGGCAGGGCTATGTCTGTTTCCTTAGATGCTAGCATTGGTTAACTGTCCAGGTACTTCTCCAGTGCAGTAGGTCTTGAGATGTGACTTTATAAGAGGCGCTGACTGCTGCTGTTCACTAAACTATTTTCCCTGCTTTCCTTTGCCTCCTACTTCCATCTAGCTTTCCCTCCTTCAACTCTTGAGGGAGATCAAGGTGTGGGCCTCCTCCCTTAACTGTGTTAACTACGTTACCATCGCACCGTTAGCTATGTGCGATAGCTGGACATTCCCCACACATGGCAGAACCCAAGGCCTTTGTGCATCATGCAGTGACCATCTGCTCTGGGCACTTAGCCACTCCTCTTAGTGAAACCAGCATCATTCCCTCCATCTCACAGCTACCACTTTGTAAACATTTACATCTTCGTTAGCCAAATGATGTATAATGAACCCTTACAAAGTTGGTGCTTTGGCAGATACTGGTATAGTCACAAGTTTACACAGCTATTACTGTTGACCAGAACACTTTATCACTCCCAGAAGATACCCTGCACCCCTTAGTAATCACCCTGGTCTTTTGGTCTCTCTACCATTATCTTTCCAGCCCTGGGTACCCACAAATCCTCTGTCTCCATGGCTTAACTGCTCTGGACATTTCATGTCAGTAGAGTCAGATGTTGTGTGGTGGTTTGTGTCGGGCATTACCTGTTTGTATCACATGATTAAGGTCCATTCATATGCCAGCATCTGTAAGTGCTTCATTTTTTTTAGAAATTAAAAACAATTTTTATATTTATTTAGTGTCTGGGTGTGTAACTTTAACTGGCCTGGGACTTGCTATGTAGTCCAGGTTGGCCTTGAACTCACAGAGATCAGTTGAAATCAGCCTGTCTCTGCCTCCCCTGAGTGGTAAGATTAAAGACCTGTGCCATTTGGCACATTTTTTGTTGGGGGTAGGTGTTAGTATTATCATGAGCTTGCCACAGAGGTCATGTGGAACTCAGAGGACAGCTTGTGGGAGCTGGTTTTCTCCTTCCACCAGATTATCAGACAAGATTGCACCAGATTGGCAGCAAGTGCCTCTCCTCCCAACCCCCACCCCCCGCCATCTTACTACCTACTCTATTCCATTCCTTTTCCTGGCTGAGCAATAGCCAGTGGATAGACAGGCCAGATTTTATTTTGCCATTCATGAGTGAACTATTTCCACTATGGCTCATGTGTGTGACCTATTGGGAAGGCTGTGTACAGCTTTTTTGTGGGTGCATGTGTTCTTGTTTCTCTTGGCTAGACCAAGGGCTGGAACCACCAGATCCTACAGAGTCTCTTGCCCCATGTTTAAGGAGTAGCCAGACTACTTTCTAGAAAGCAGTAATTTCCCAGTGTCTCTGCTGTATACAGGTGCCCTGGTTTCTCCATCCTCTTTGCTGTCACAGTCACACTAAGCTATGCAGTGGTGTCTGCTGGTGCTGCCGCTCTCATGCCCCTGGCATTGCTGATGTTAGAATCCTCCCATGTGCTTATAGATCACTTGTGAACTGCTGTCTTTCTGACTTGCAAAGATATAGATAGAATAGATAGATAGATAGATAGATAGATAGATAGATAGATAGATAGATAGATAGATAGATGGATGGATGGATGGATGGATGGAAATAGAGATATTCTGTATGTACACCAAACATGTGACTTTCTCTTCCCTTGTGTGGGCTGCCTTTTCATCTTATGTGTGAATATTTGTGGGATTGAGGCTTTCAGTTTTAATGAGTCCACTGTGTCTGTTAGGTTTTCTGCTTTGCTTTGGTGTCAGTTCTGAGACACCATTGCGCAGAGCACCATCAAGCAGACTTCCCCAATGCTGTCTTCCTTATTCCCTTGTCTGGGCTCTGCTGGCTCAGATATCTTCTCATCTCCAGGGTGGAAACATCTACAGACTCCCCCATCCAGTGAAGGAAGAGAGCTTGGCAGGCGGATGGTAAGTTCAAAAGCTCTCATGCCCCACCAAGGCACTCCCCTGGAAAGTCCTCTGGCTTCTCTGTACTGTCTTGAGTGAGGGAGCCAGATGCCTCCAGACCTGCAGAAGATGTTTCAACCCTTGGAAAGTTGAAAATGGTCTTCCATTTTCATTGTTTAGTACAAGTTTTCAGTGGATTGGGGTTGCATGCAACAAACAAACAAAAACAACAACAAAAACCCAAACCAAACCAAAAGCAAAGACAGCAACAACAAAGCAGTAGTCAGGGATAGAGCCTCATTCTCCCATTCTCTCTCTGCCTTTTCTCTCTACAGCCATCAGCCAAATGGGGGTCCCACAGACTGGATGGAGTCAAAGAGCACTTTTGTGTGCAAGAATTGCAGCCAGATGTTTTACACCGAGAAAGGGCTGAGCAGCCACATGTGTTTCCATAGTGACCAGTGGCCATCACCTCGAGGGAAGCAGGAGCAACAGGTGAAGGGGAAAACAGTGGTTTCTGTAGTCTGGGGTTAGACAGGCTTTGGGGATGAATGAAGAGACAGTGTCATCCATGTCAGGTTAAAGGCAGCATCCTGGCAAGGATGATGGGGTGACATGAGGGCCAGGACCATCTGTGCAGGCCTGCAGCAGCCTCTCCGGCTCTTGAACCAGCCTTGTAGACTTTCTATGTCACCAGGAGTCACTTCTTCCTGGCTGCTCTGTGTCTTAGAGCTACTAATGCTCTATGCTCAGGTGTTTGGCAAAGTTTTGCACTGAGGCCTGCTGGGAACAGGGGTCCCCCAAGAGCCAAAATGTCCTTGGAAAGCATAGCTATAGCTGGAAGACTCAGCCAGGATGGGTGCTTCTTCATCTGCTGTTTCCCACTTGCTGTGGAAGTCCTAGGAAAACCCCAAACCAAAGCACACGTAAGTCCCTACTCTAGAAGCCTTGGTTTGTATCCACAGTCAGCACTGGCTGAGCCCATGACAGGCCTAATGATGTGAGTGCTGATGACAGCAATGATATTGACAGCCCAGGTCCTGACCCTAGTCAGCAATGACCCAAAATTTGCAGAGCTGGGATGCAGGAGAAGAAGGAACTAAGGAAGGCTGAGGGGCCAGGCAGGAAGGTATGTCAGAGCTAAGGCCTGGAAGAAAAGGAAGGCTGTCAGGGAGGAAGGAACAGTAGAAGATATGAGAGATCATTATGATTGCAGTGGTGGATCTCCCCGAGTCTCATCTCTGTACTACTGGACCCTGGCCTGAAGTTTCTGTGTCAGTGCAAGGCCAGTGTTGGCTCATAAAATACACAGAGAACATATCTGGAAGAACACATTTTTGTTGCCATAATACTCTTGTCTCTGGCTCTCATTCTTTTTTTCCTTTTTATACATATATATATATATATATATATATATATTTTTTTTTTTTTTTTTTGGTTTTTCGAGACAGGGTTTCTCTGTATAGCCCGGGCTGTCCTGGAACTCACTCTGTAGACCAGGCTGGCCTCGAACTCAGAAATCCGCCTGCCTCTGCCTCCCGAGTGCTGGGATTAAAGGCGTGCGCCACCACCGCCCGGCCCTTTTTATACATATTTTTATTGTTATCTGGGAGTTTTGTTTGCTTATTTATTTTGTGAGACAGGGTCTCTATTATAGTCCTGCCTTACCTGGAACTTGCTATATATAAGTCAGGCTAGCCTTGAACTCACAGAGATTTGCTTCTGCCTCCTATGTGCTGAGATCAAAGGCATACACCCTGTATCTGACCCTCACTCTTGGAATGCTTGTCACTGGAGCCATTGAACTGCCCCCATGTATCCCTATATGACTGTATGAGGAGGCTCTGAGCCTCAGGATGTCACCATATTGAGTATGTCAGTCAGCTCTGGCTCATGTGGGCTGGACTATGAACAGAAGGTCCTACTCAGCCTCCTGTGCTTAAACCCTGGGTATGGCCATGGCAGACATACATATCCTCCTTCCCTCTGTCCCCATGAAAAGCCCCATTTTCCCATCTGAAGACAAGCTGAAGACTGAGTTGATGCAACAGGTTGTCTCTGGTGACACCTGTGGTTCTGTTCTCTCTTTTTCAGGGACAAGAAAAAGATGGGGAAGAGAGAGACAGCAAGGAGAGCAGTCAGTACAGAAAACGGAAGAAACGGCCCCAGCCCAAGGCCCTATTTGCCCCTCCTGCACCCTCTGTCCTTGGGGAGCCAGGCCCAGGAGGATGCCACCAGAGCTGCCTGCGCTCTCCTGTGTTCCTGGTGGACCACCTCCTGAAGGGCTTGTTTCAGTGCTCTCCCTACACACCACCGCCTATGCTTAGCCCGATTCGTGAGGGCTCTGGGCTGTACTTCAATACCCTCTGCTCCACATCCAGGGCTGGGCCCCACCTCATCAGCCCTGTACTTGGTGAGTGAGGCCAGAAAGCTACTCTGTTCCAGGCTAAGGTGCTTCTCTTATGGCCAACAATCTCTCTGCCTTGCAGTATATGATCCAGCCATTATTTCCAGCCTTGTATGTGCCTATTCTGGGGGACTCATTGCTACTCAGAAACATACCAAGATGATTCTTCTAGATGTTTAGTTAGTTATTTAGTTATTTAGTTAGTTAGTTAGTTTTTTTGTTAACAGCCAGAGAGAACACATAGAGGCCATTCAGCCTAATACCTCTTCTGTTCATTTTTATAACCACTCTATGGAGACAGAGACACACACCATGGTTGCCTACCATGTAGCTCAGCCATTTAAAGCTTGTGCTTTGAGGCTGCCCTCTGGTCTCTGAGCTTCCCTGCACACTATCTATAGAGGGTTTTTGCCATTCCAGAACCCTGTACTCCACCAACGGCAACACCACCCTTCTTGCTTTCATTCTCGAAGTCCTATGTATCTCCTGGCCTCAGGGAGCCACTCATCTACTTCCTGTCACTATAGCCTTGCCTATGCTGGGTATTTCATATAAGTGACATCATACAGTGTGTAGCTTTTAATGTATCACCCATTTTACTTAATTTGATGCTTTCAGGGTTCACTAGGTGGTAGTGTGTGTTAGTGAGTAATAGTCTACCCAATGGCCAGACTACTCTTTTTAATCATCAGTTGATAAGTATGTGTATTGTTTTCCTTTTAGCTATTGTAAATAATACTGTAAGAACACTTGTGTCTAACTTCCTGTGCGGGTCTGTGTACCAGTTCCTTTTGTGTACATACCTAGAAAGAAATACTGGGTCACATGGAAATCTGTTTCACTATCTAAGAAACTGCCAAACTATGTGCTAGAGTGTTTGTCCCATTTTGGATTCCTGCCAACAATCAGGAGAGTCCTGATACCTCTGCCCCTTACCTGCACTTATAGACTGCGATTCTTTCTAGCCATCCTGTCAGATGAAAGGTGCCTATTGTTTTGTGTGGATTTGTGTTATCCTAATGGCTATTGGTGCCAAGAATCTTGCTGGGTGTTCATTGGCTGTTGGTGTGTCCTTCATTATAAATTAAGGAGATCTGTTTATTCTCCTAGTGTCATTTGTGCACTAGGTTTTACATGTGACCAGTTGACTGGCACAGAGTAATGAAGAGCCATTTTACTCTGTAGGCCAAGCAAGCCTTGAGTTCACACCCCTCCTGCCTCAGCCTCGTGAGTAGCTAGATGCACAGTACTATCTTTTTTTTGAGAGAGAGAGTTTTATAGTTTTGTTTGTTTGGTTTGGTTTGGTTTGGCTTGGCTTGGTTTTTCAAGACAGAATCTCTTTATCTAGCGTTGGCTGTCCTGGAACTCACTCTGTAGACCAGGCTGGCCTCGAACTCATAGAAATTCACCTGCCTCTGCCTCCCAAGGGTAGGAACTAAAGACATCTGCCACCACTGCCCAGCTATAATTTTGACTCTTAAATTTACATCTTTAATCAATTTCCAACTAGCTTTCGGATATTGTATGAGGTAAGGATCAAAGTTCATTTATTTTGCATGGATTCCATTCACTCCAGGATCATTTGCTGAAAATATCATTCCCATCAAGTTGGTTTTAGCAGATTGTTTTTATTAAAATCAGTTTACCAAGGCGTGAAGACCTGAGTTCAGTCCCCAGAGCCTATTTAAAAAAAAAAAAAGCCTAATGTAGTGGCATGCGCATGTGCTGTCCACACTAGGGAGGCTGGGGCTTTCCTGGCAGCCAGTCCAGCTTGTGTAGTGAGCTGTAGGCCAGAGAGTGATCTTGTCTCAGAAAACACGGTGAGGGAATAACATATGACATTTACCCGTGCCCCCCTCACACACTTGCATGCTTTTCTGCATAAATGTGCACTTGCACACACAAGCACACACCTCCATTAATCGTCAGTGCGTGTGTCTGCTCCTGAGACTAGTTCTTCTCTATGATCTGCATGCTTCTTCTTATGCTGGTACCATAGTGCTTTGACTACTGTAGGATTGTGTAAGCTTTCAAATAGGTGTATTTGAATTCTCTTATGTTGTTCTGTCTTCCAGGATTGTGTTAGCTGTCGTGGGTCCATTGGATTACTGTAGAATTTTGGAATCAATGGTGATTCTGATAGTTCCCTGTTTAATATGTAGATAAGTTGGAAAGTATTACTATCCTAAATAATTTAGACCTTCTATTTGTGATGGGCTGGACCATCTTCCCATTTATTTAGGACATGTTGCATTTTTGTCTCAATCATTTTTCCCAGTGTGTGTCTTACATATCTTTGCTTGTTGCTGTTTTTTGAGATAGGAACTCTATACAGCCCAGGCTGGCCTGGGACTCCCCATTCTCCTACCTGTGTCTCCCAAGTGGTGGAAAGGCAGGCACATGCCACCATTTGCTGTGCAATAGACATCTTTCCTTAGCAGAATCCATTCAGATCTGTGTTCATGTAGCAATGGTGAAGAGCAAAGACACTGCATTCTCCATCTCATGGGCCTCTGTCCCATCTGTTTCCTAGCAGATGTGTCAGCAGACTCCATTCTGAACTGTTGTCTTTTCAACTTTATGTATAATTTTATAGATTTGGTCATATGAAGTCAAAGCAATAGAAGAAATCAAGCACTGCTGAGTTTACTGTACCCTTCATTACCATTTTATGCTTTTCTGTAATTCTTATAGGGCCATTACCATTGGGTGCTATTCTTCTTTGTGTGTGTGCATGCAGGCTCTGTGTGTGTTCATGTATATACAGGTACACATGTGTGTTGTCGTAAGGTTTTACTGCTGTGAACAGACACCATGACCAAAGCAACTCTTAGAAGGATAGCATTTAATTGGGACTGGCTTACAGGTTCAATGGCTCAGTCCATTATCATCAAGTGAGAGCATGGCATGGCAGCATCCAGGCAGGCATGGTGCAGGAGATGCTGAGAATTCTACATCTTCATCTGAAGGCCTCCAGGAGAAGACTTACTTCCAGGCAGCTAGGATGAGGGTCTTAAAGCCCATGCCCACAGTGATATATTTCCTCCAGCAAGGCCACATCTCCAAAGAGTGTCACTTTCTGGGCCACGCATATTCAAACCACCACGTGTGTGGAGACTAGAAGATAAACCTGTCAATGCCTCTTTCTTTTGAGACAGGCTCTTTCACTGGTCTGGAGCTCATGGAACAAAGTGGGCTGGTGTCAAGTGAGCCTGGGGGTTCTGTTCTACCTCTCCAGCAGTGGGTCTGTAAATATGCACTCTGACACACAGGATTTTGTTTAGTTAGTTTTCCCTTGTTTTTCTATTGGCATTCTGGGGGTTTAGCTGAGGAGTTCCAAAATGACTGTGCCATCTCCAGAGAAGACAGCTTTGGTCCTTTGTACTGTCACTGTAACATATATTACATTTCTAGATGTTTCAGGCCCATGATATACATTGCTTTATGCAGCTGATATTTAAATTAATTAGGAAGAGAAAATAAATCACAATAAATTAGACTATCTTTTGTGATTTCCTGAACAATTACTACTGCCAGCACTTTGGAGGGTGGAGCCACACCACTGCCTCTTTACAACCACTTTTTAAAGATTAATGAAGGTAACAATAGCTTTAATGGCATACAATTCACATACTCTACAATTAATCCTTGTTTGTTTTGAGACAGGGTCTCACTGTGTAGTCCTGGCTAGCCTGGACCACACTATGTAGAGCAGGGAGGCCTTACACAGAGATTTGCCTGCCTCTGTCCCCTGAGTTATGAGATTAAAAGTGTGTACTACCATCCTAGCTTAATTTTTTAGAATTGTGTGTGTGTGTGTGTGTGTGTGTGTGTATGTGTATGTGTATCTATCTATCTATCTATCTATCTATCTATCTATCTATCTATCTATCTGTTTGTGGGTATTGTATGCACATGAGAGTGCAGGTACCTGTGTAGTTTAGTTTAGGGACATTAGATCTCCTGGAGCTGAAGTAATAGGTAGTTGTGAGCTACCTCATGTAGGTTCTGGGAACTGAACTTGAGTCTTCTGCAAAAGCAATGTGAGCCATCTCTCCAGCCCCACAACTTATTTTAAACTGCATAATGGTTCAGTGGTTCTTAGTAATGATACAGGACCATCTATCATCATCCCATAATGGCTTTTCAGACATTTTCACCCAAGAAAGGAACTCTGCTCTCTGCCACTATTCCTTTCCCATTCTCTTGCTCAGGTTTGGGCTGAGCTCATCCAACTTTTGTCTCTGTAGGCTTGACTGCTTGAAAGGTTTCAAACACATGGAGTCACAATATGTGGTTCCTTATGCTTGGCTTCTTTTACTCCCAGCCATGTTCAAATTCCATCTGTGCTGTGGGACGTCTTGGTATCTTCCTCCCAAGGGTGAAGATTATCCCCCTGTAATATTTCTCATAAGCCAAAATTGGTAGCAACAGATTTTCCCCAGTCTTCTTTAAATCTTGTGATCTTTTTCACTTTGCTTTTTAAGGTTAACTTTCTGGTATAAGACTTGACATTTACTTTCAGCATAGTGCTGTGCCCCTATCGTCTGACCACCAATCTATTAGAAGTCAACTATCTTACTGGAATTCTGCATAGGGTCAGGTGGGTTTAGTTTTGCTTTTTTTTCTCATTTTGCTTTTGAGATTTTAATCTTTGACTTTGCACTTTTGCCTCTGTGTTTGTCCAGTTTAGAATCACAGTGCTTATTGGATGTATATATTGTTTCTCACCAAGTCTGGGGCCTCTCCTATCATTCTCTCTTCAAATATCTTTCCATTCTCTTCTGTTCTCTGTCTGGGACATCCACTGCATGTGGTTTCAGCCTTCAGTGATGGCCATCCTTCTGCATTCTTTTCCCTTTGCAGATTCTTAACTCACTCTGTTCCAGGTTTGCTGATCATTTTCCTTCTACCAACTCAGACAAACCTGATGAGTTTAACTTGGGCCATTTTAACTTTTTAAATAATTTATTTAAAGATTTTATTTATTGTATGTATATGAGTACACTGATGTGTCAGACACACCAGAAGAGGGCATCGGATCCCATTACAGATGGTTGTGAGCCACCATGTGGTTGTTGGGAATTGAACTCAGAACCTCTGGAAGAACAGTCTGTGCTTTCAGCTGCTGAGCCATCTCCCCAGCCTGCCATTGTACTTTTTGTCACCAGATGTCCACCTCTTAAAGTTATTCCTTGATGAAAATTCATCGTGCTACCTTCCAAGAATTGTTAATTGTACACTTTTTAAATTTTGCTTTCTTTTTTTAAAAATTATATCTATTTGTGCACGTGGGCACACGTGGAGGTCAAAAAGCATCTTGGAGTCAGTTCTCTCCTTCCACTATGTGGGGACTAGGGATCAAACTCAGGTCATCAGGGTTGGCAGTAACCACCTTTACCCACTGGATCAGTTCACATGCCTTTCTGCAATTTCCTTAAGCCTGTGAGTTGTATGTTGTGGGGTAGCCCCATCTTTGAGTGAAGTCCTTGGGAGAAAGCATCAATTACCCAAGCCAGGAGCTTGTAGGGAAGAAAGTCAAACTTGCTTGCTCAGGACTCAGACTGTGATTCTTATCAAGAGAAAGTCATTTCTATTGTTTTTTAATTTTTAAAGCTTATATTTATTGATTGATTATATGTGCTTAATCATATGAGCATGGACACCATGTGTGGAGTTCAAAATGCATCTCATGAGTCAGTCAGATCTCTTCTTCCACTTAATGGGTCCTGGTAATTGAATCAAATGGTCTAGGGCAAGTGTCTTTTTTTTTTTTTTTTTGGTTTTTCAAGACAGGGTTTCTCTGTGTAGCCCGGGCTGTCCTGGAACTCACTCTGTAGACCAGGCTGGCCTTGAACTCAGAAATCCGCCTGCCTCTGCCTCCCAAGTGCTGGGATTAAAGGTGTGCGCCACTACCGCCCGGCGGGCAAGTGTCTTTATGCCCTGACAATCTCAGTAGCCTGTTAACTGTGTGGGATTTTTAAAATTAGTTTTTAACCATCTAGTATTTATTTATGTTTATCTGTCCATCTGTCTGTCTTGTGTGTGGTCACCCGTGAGATGACGGAGTGTATGTAGCAGTCAGTTCCCTGTTTTCACCACGTGGGCCCCAAGGATTAATCTAAGTTCTTCAGACTTAGTGGCATCTTCACCAGCTGAGCCATCTCACCAGCCTTAACAGTTGGTTGATTTTTTGAGACAGAGTTTTTCTATGTAGCCCTGGAAGTCTTGGACCTTACTGTGTAGACTAGTCTGGCCTTGAACTCACAGAGATCTGCCCATCTCTGGTGCTTTGTGTTTGTTTGTTTGTTTGTTTTATTTTAAATTACTCAGTTTCTTCATCTGCTTTTTTCAGAGGTCTTTCTTTCCTTCTGGACCTTACAGTTTGTTTGTCTACCATGTCCACAAAGGCAGGTAGAAGGCCGAGAGGATTTTGTTAGGTCAGTTCTGTTGAGGCCCTTCCCTGTGTGTTTTCTAGACCAAGTGGACGGCTCCTTTGGCATCTGTGTGGTGAAGGATGACACTAAAATCAGCATCGAACCGTGAGTTGGAACCCTTAGTGCCCAAGACCTTCTATCGAGGGTGCTTTCACCAGCATGGCCTTCCAGAGCCCCCTTTCCCAGGCCTGTCTTCCAAGGGAAGGACAGATCAGATGCAGATATTCCATACAGAAGCTGTGGGTTTCTCCAATAGTAGGTGAAAAGTTTTTGCTGTGTTACTTCTGTAACATAGATGAGCATGGGGTGGGACAGAGTCTCTGCTCTGGAGCTGGGTTTCTAGACAGAGATGATGACAGCGTAGTGCATGAGGCAAGGGCGTCTGTGGGTTGTGGCTGGACACAGGTGGTTAGTGTCAGCACATAGAGTGTTCTGAAATGCCCGTGTCTGTTGGGTGATGAACGTAATAAGCAGCCACCATGTCTGAGAAATGGCAGCGAACTGCCATGAGCAGGCTGTGGCTGTGAACAGAATGCATGGTACATCTCTGCTGTTTCCTGGCTTAGGCAGCTTTGCATCTCAATGTTTGTGTGTGGCCTTGTTTCAGACATATCAACGTAGGAAGCAGATTTCAGGCAGAGATCCCAGAACTCCAGGAGAAGCCGCTGGCCAGAGTGGATGAGAATGTAGCTTCTCTGGTCTGGAAGCCATGGGGAGATGTGATGACCAACCCAGAGACCCAGGACAGAGGTGGCTGAGGCTTTGAGTCAGATCCCAAGGCTCCTTCGTTCCCATCCAACTCCAGGAAATGTACCCTTGGCCCAACATGTCTCCCTCCTTGTGCTGCCCTCTCCTACCTCTCACTTGCCAGTGCAGGTGCCAGGCCAGGGTTCCTATGGTTCCTCTTTGTTTCCCCTACTCACCCTGCCCACACCTTGGGAATGTAAGGAAAGGGGAATTGACCAGAAGCCCCTGTGCCATGGGGAAGGCTACCTCCCTCACATGCCTGACTTCATTTCTTCTTCCTAATGCTCTTCGGCTTTGCTGGGACCTTAGTTATGGAGCTGTGCAATGTAGCATGTTCCAGCGTGATGCCAGGAGGGGGCACCAACCTGGAGCTTGCCCTGCACTGCCTACATGATGCCCAGGGCAGTGTTCAGGTGAGACCTGGGGCACCCTGCACACCTGAGGCTGGGCTTTCTGCGACTTGGAGGGCCCAGCTGAGGGAAGGTGAAGGTCCAAGTCTACAGTGCTTTGAGGCTAGAATATCAGAGTGGGGAGTACAGGCTGGTCAGTTACAGGGTTTGTCTGTCAATTATTGATCCTCTAGGACTGCAGTTCTCAACATGTGGGTCATGACCCTTTTGAAGTCACCCAAAGGCCATTTAAAAATAAATATATTATGATTCATAACAACAGCAAAACTACAGTTACAAAATAACAATGAAAATAGTTTTATGGTTGGGGGTCACCACAACATGAGGAACTATATTAAAGGGTTGCAACACTAGGAAAGTTGAGAACCTGAGAACCACTACTCCAGGAGAAGGGGTTCTGGGGCAGTGGGGGAGGACCAGTGTTTGAGACCTGAGACTCATTCAATCCTAGACCATGCTTTCTGCCAAGCTGAGGGCAGTCTCTGGCATGTGTATACTGAGCACCCACTGGATCTCAATCATGTAGGGCTCTGTCCTTGTCTTAATACTTCATTGTCTTTATCTAGGTAGGCTTTAGACTTTCTGAGTAAAAATCTTGGGTAGATTTTTGTTTGTTTGTTTGTTTGTTTGTTTTGTTTTTTTTTGTTTTCAGATAAAGTATTTCTTTGAGTATCCCTAGCTGTCCTGGAACTTGCTCTGTATACCATTTTGGCTTTGAACTCAGAGATCCTCCTACCCCTATTTCCCAAATGCTAGGATTAAAGGCATACACCACCACCACTCAGTAGAAATCCTTATTTTCATTTTGTACCAGATCCTAAAACAGATCTTGTTCCCACTAGGATTAGAGTAGCCCATACCTCACAGGGCTTATAATTTAAGAAAGTCAAAAGCTTTAAAAGTATATTGCTGAGGGATGTGGTTGCTCACACCTGTGCTTCCAGCACTTGGAATAAGTTTAAGACCAGCCTGGGTTACAGTATGAGATTGTCTCAAAAAGTCAAAGGCCAGTGGTGTAGTTCATATGTGAGGCCCAGGCTCCATCCCCAGCTCTGCTAAAAGGAAACAGTAGCCCAGCATGGAGTGCAGAAGAGGGAAAAAAGTGGAGTGTTGGCTGAGACAGCACTCTTCTAGGCAGCAGCCTCTGGTGGGTAGGGGAATGTGCCTCACAAACCCACACACTGTGTTCTTCATGAAAAAAGTCATATTTTGAAAGCAAAGATGACATTCAAAGAGGTGCTTAGTGAGGTCATCATGGGCCAACAGGTTGTCCACCAGCATAAGGACCAAGCACCTGTGGGTCACCTTCAACATTGACTTTATAGACATCTGTTTTTCAATGAAAGAAAGAAGAATGGAGACAGGCACTTGGGAGGCAGAGACAGGCGGATTTCTGAGTTCGAGGCCAGCCTGGTCTACAGAGTGAGTTCCAGGACAGCCAGAACTAGACAGAGAAACCCTGTCTTGAAAAACCAAAAAAAAAAAAAGAAGAAGAAGAAAGAAGAATGGAGACAACCCCTAATTCCCAGGCCTTGTGAGTGGCCCATACCTCCTGTCCTTCCAGGTTGCCCTGGAGACTCTGTTACTCAGAGGACCCCAGAAGCCCCGGACTCACCCGCTGGCTGACTATCGCTACACAGGTGACTGGAGAAAGGGCTGCTTGATACTGGGACCTGACTGATCTCTGACACAGCTGATGGCAAATTTCACTTCTGCCTCTTCTTCTTGGCCTTCCTTCCAGGGCTTTTGTTTGTCTTCCTGAAGGGGCCTGTTCTTTCCAGGGGGACTCAGCAAGCACTGTCTTAAGTTCATTCACTAAACCCCACCAGTCCTGTTCTATCATTCTTCAACAAGATCAGTGTTCCTAACGATGGCAAGGGATATGGACTTAAACCTAGCACATCCAAGTCAGGCAGCTTGAGACCACCTGCTTTTGTTAGGCTACTAAGACCACAGCCACATCTGTTGCTCACATAACATGAGGACAATGAGTCCCCAGCTTTGTAGCATTAGGGAAGACTGTCTGAAATTAGTACATCATCAGTGTTCATAATGTCAGTCAGACTGTGGTCCCTTGAGAAAAACCTACCCTTCCCTGGCTGTACTCCCCGGCAGGTTCAGACATCTGGACCCCCATGGAGAAGAGGCTCTTCAAGAAAGCATTCTGTGCTCACAAGAAGGACTTTTACCTGATACACAAGACGGTAAGATGACAGAAGGCTGGGGCAGCAAACCCCACCTCGCACAACTGTCCCTACCTGCCTGCAGCACATTCAGTACCTTGTAAGCGGCTTATTACCTTAGAAGGCTACCCTGCTGCTGCCCTGCTTCTCCTAAGTAAGTGCTGCTCACTGCAGCTCAGCACTTGCTGCCTTTCTATGTCCTGATTTACTCCTGTGCATGTGCTGAAATGTACACGAACATAAAACCTAATACTCTCTTCTATTTTTGTTGTTTGTTTTTGGTGGGGTTCTTTTTGTTTGTTTGTTTGTTTTTTGAGATGGTCTCTCTATGTTGTTCTGGCTGTCCCACTATGTAGACCAGGTTAGCTTCAAACTCACAAAGATCCACCTGCCTCTGCTGGAATTAAAGGGGTGTGCTACTACCACCCAGTTCTCTTCTCTGTTTTTTTTTTTAAATGACATACATATAACTACACATAAGCAAGGTACATGGATGAATATTTTACATATGTATGAATCTGTAGGATTGTCACCACAGGCAAGACAGCAACTTCTCTGTGATGCCCAGAACTTCTTTCTTCTCTGGTAGCCTATCACACATGCCACTGTGCCTCCCTCCATGTCCCTGGCCAGCCCTGTAAGAAAGTTTGTACTTTCTGGAGTTTTGTATCGCTAGGGCAGTCAAACAGCTTGTGTTCCACACTTCATCTAGCTGCTTGTACTCAGTATACTTACTTTGAAGTTCATTTGTGTTGCATTTATTAATGGTTCATCCTTTCTGCTGCTAAATAATACTGTGCTGCATGGATGCACTAGAGCTGTATTTAATCATTTCTTAGTTGATAGGCATTTGAGGGTGTCCAGTCTGGGCAATTATAAAATACAGTGGCTATGAACAGCATGTACAAAGTCTGCTCTCAGAGCTTACTACCCTTCCCAGCACTGCTTCTTTCATCATTTTTGGCTGGAAGGTGAATTTGTTCCTGTTGCTCTATCTTTCTCAGAAGCAGAAGCCATCTTCCATTTCCTTTTAACTTGGGGCTGTTTCCTAAGCAGAGTATACATGCTGCTTGACTTCTAGTTTGTGACAGCACACAAGCAGTTCCAGGTTCATGTGGAGAAAGTGTATTCTGGAGTGAGGAGCTCACTTGGCCAGTTAATTTCCTAGGAAAGTGTCCCGGACAGCTGAACTTTCCTTCCATCCTACCTCCCATCCTCTCCCTCCTCTTCTTGGTGCTGGGAATGGAACCCACATCCTCTTTCATAGTAAGCAATCTCTCTACCACTAGGTCTCACCTCCAGCTCTCCATTTTTGTTCCCTCCACCATCATCCAGAGTTCTTTCTTTCTTGATGTAAGGTATCAATGTGTAGCCCAGACTGGCCTCAGACTCTCAGTCCTCCTGCCTCAACCTCCTGAGATCTAGGATTATAGTCCCATATCACTCACTACACCTGGCTCCAGAAGTCATTGGCTTGTTTAATTGATTGATTGGTGTGTTTTGTTTTGTTTTTCAAGACAGTTTCTCTGTATAGCCTTGGCTGTCCTGGAACTCACTTTGTAGATCAGACAGGCCTTGAATTCACAGAGATTCACTGCCCTCTGTCTCCCAATGTGTTGGGATTAAAGGCATCCACCAGAAGTCATGTTTGTTGAGACATGGTTGCTCTATATCCCTGACTGGTCTGGATTCACTATGTACCCAGCCTGTCCTATAACTCTCATGCGGCCTTTGCCTCCAGAGACAGGCGGTATGACATTCAGCGCAGGAGTCATACTTTTGCAAGAATAAGTGACTGGGCCTAAGTGCTATGTGCACTAATAACTATCCTTGGGGCCACTGTCCCTGGAGGACTTCCTAGGCTATGCTTAGTTGTGGTGGCTGAAAGCTCACCACAGAGGAAAGGCATTCTGTGTTAATCCTAATCTCACCAAGTATGGCTGTTGCCTGCTATAATGTCACAGTGAGCCTCCTTACTCGTGGGTCTTTGTGTGTCTTCCTACAGGGAAGAAGCATGCTGGACTTAGTGCTGATGGCTACTGTGTGGCTTCACTTTGGACCCTTCACCTCCTGGAAAGACCAAGATCCCTGCCTTTGCCCAGCCATGGGCAGAGATGTTGGGGAAGGGATTTCCAGGGTGGAGTTCACATGTAAGGTACTGCCCACAGCCTGCTTTTGTATCTTCCTTCCCACTAGATCCAGACTAAAAGTGTAGCACAGTGTGTTGAGTACTACTACATCTGGAAAAAGATGGTTAAGTTTGACTGTGGCCGAGCTCCTGGGCTGGAGAAGAGGGGCAGAAGAGAGCTGGATGAGGTAGAAAGGACTGAAGACAAGGTAGAAGATGCATGAGGACATGGTCTGGGTGCTTCTGTGGTCTAGTCAGAGGGTGGTGGAGGTTCTCAAGGGAAGGTTTCTGTGTAGAAGACATGGTCCCACACTAGTGTCTTAAGTCATCTTTACCCTCTCTGTAGGTGACTTGCAGCCCTCGAGAGAGACCTACCCACCGTCCAACTCCTGAGTTAAAGATAAAGACCAAGAGTTACAGGAGGGAGTCTATCCTTCACTCCAGCCCAAGTGCAGCCCCCAAGCGCACCCCTGAGCCTCCAGGGAGTGTGGAGAGCCAGGGCGTGTTCCCTTGCAGAGAGTGCGAGAGGTACCAGCCTTCCCTCTGGACCTTCAGTCTCTGGCCTGGCTTGCTTCCCTAACTCCTCCATCTCTGACCCACATCTTTATGACTCCTCAGGGTGTTCGACAAGATCAAGAGTCGGAATGCCCACATGAAGCGCCACCGCCTCCAGGAGCATGTGGAACCTGTTAGGGTGAAGTGGCCTGTGAAGCCCTACCCACTGAAGGAGGAAGAGGAGGAGGAAGAAGAAGAGCTGGGGGCCGACATGGGCCCCCTGCAGTGGTGACTTCTTGCTAGAAGCTCGTCTGCAAGGAGAGGGGATCCAGCTCTGAACCAGTGTCCTGGGCCCCTCAGAAGTGTTTGAGGCATTCTTATCCTCTCTGTCCTCTCACTTCTATCCTTGCTAGCATCTTTGGCTAGCATTTGGACATGAACAGGCAGAAGCTCTCAAGGTAGCTCTGGAGTCATGTGGATAATCAGAGGCTCCATTCTCTCCTGGTTAATAGTTGCTTATTTGCAGTCCCAGTCACTTGGAGCAGGGGACCCTGGGAGGCAGAAGATTTGGTCTAGGTGGCATTTAGATCTGAGCTGTAGGCATGGGGCTGACATTGGTTAGAGAGAATCAGTAAGGACACCTGAGATACAGTGAGCTGGGCCCTCCTTGGGGCAGGGCCTCCCTGCATTCCCACCATCCCTAGTCTTGCAATGACTGTATATTGTTAGGTGTATTTTGTACGTGTCTGCTTGTATCTTATTAAATTGGGTTCTTAAAGAGCTGTCTTCCAACTTCCAAGCCTGTGTGCTCTGCAGAAGCTTCAGGGCCATATCTGGGGCCAGGAGGTGAGCAGAGAGAGGGGAGAAGGTGGGCACAGTCAGCTGTGCTGTTTAGCAGCACACACCAGCTCTTCTCAGTCTGTAGATGGGCATATACACACACAGCAGTGAAAGCCCCTTCATCATAGAGCTTCATTTTAGGAGGGGTCTTGTAGCAGCTGTGAATGAGCACACAGGTGAAAAGGTAGTGACAGTAGGCACAATCTGACGATGATAATGGGAAGGATTGGTTAGACTGAAGCCAGAAAAGCATGTGTACATCTAGCTGCTCAACCTGAGATGAAGAAGGACCCTAACAGCAGGCAGAGTGGTGCCTTGGCTACAGCCCATGTAAAGTCAGGGACATCTATACCAACCCCAACCTGCAAGAGCCATGCCTCGCCTCTTGTGTCCCAGGGCCATCCCAGCACTACAGAGACGGTCTCAACATCTCAGCTAAAGCCTAAAGGTAGGGAGGGAATTGATTTTGGAGCTGTTGAGATAGCCTGTTTGAGGGAAATGAGGGGTACAGGACAGCCCAGTAACCAGAATGGCTCTCTTCCTTCCAACTTGAACACTTTTTCCCAATGTGTGTAGCTGGTAAATGAGGAAATGCTCTTTGCTTGTTAGGTGTTCCCAGTGACCTGAGAATTCCTATGCAGTGAGCATTCCACTACTTTACCCTGAATGACCCAACTTCATGATTGGAAATGCATGAGTCTGGCCTTACGGGTTGAGGGTATATAGTCATCTATTGCTGCATAGCTCATTGTTCCAAAAGGATGACATGTTGCAGCAAATGGAGGTGGAACTGTAACTGCTTACGGCCATCCAAACTCACCAACTCCAGGGACAGAGCACAGTCGTGGTGAGCACAGGCATTTGAGAAAGGGTCAGGGGAAGATGTCTTTTGCCTTTTCCTGTCCCCAACAGCCAACTCACATAACACTTTCCTCAAATGTTCTCTGCTACTCAGTAAAGTTCAGTAAAGAACAGATACAGATTCCTGCACCACAGCACACTGTTGGGACTGGAATCACTGTGAGCAGAGCCCTGGGGACTGATTCTTTAATAACTAGATTTACAGAAAACTAGCGTAGTACCAAAAGTTCCCACATACCCAGTTTCTCTCATATAGTAAGACGTTACTCTTACGATAGCACAGTACTGAACTGAAGGTTGTTCTGCATCTGATTTTTTGAAATCAGGTCTCTTTCTGACCTTGGAGCTCAATGATTCTGCCAGATTGGCTGGCCAGCAAGCTCCAGGCATATGCCTGTCTCCCACCCACCATTCCTGTTACAGTGACCTGCTGACAGACAGCTTTTTACATGGGTCTGGGTATCCAGTGCCATTCTGTGTGTGGCACTGAAAGATACTCTAAAGGCATTGTATGTGTAGGTTAGAGAACAACTTAGAGCAGTCAATTCTCATCTTCCACCATGTGGGTTCCAGGAATCGAACTATGGTTGTTAAACTTGGTAGCAAATGCCTTTAGCAGCTGAGCCATGCAGCTAGAAATGGAGACCTTCTGGACTCCCCAAGCCAATTCTAGAGACGATCGCCAGAGGGAGTAAGAAGGTTCTTTTTTACTACACAGCTTTTTCCCAAGTGACTAAGACATAAAGTGAGCCAGGAGGCGGAGCTAAACTGCTGGGTCTGTCAAACTTGGAGCATCGACTTTGAGGCGTCACGTGAGCGCCGCGACACTGGTTTGCCGATTACTGTAACCCAGTTCCGCCGAGGCGTGGCGGAACAAGTCTGTAGAGCCTTCTGATTGGTTGGAGGGAGTCAAAGGTCGCGCTTTGGGGAGGGATGGGCACTTGGCAGTGCGGGCTTATGATTGGCTTATTTGGTGTCACGTGGCAGTGTGCTCTGTGGGTCTCGGAAGCTAGCGGCGTCAGACGGCGGGCTTGTGATCACGTGTTGCGGGTCAAGGTGCGGAGTGCGGTAGCCCGAGGGGGCGCGCCGGGAGGAGGGTGCTTCGCAGCTTGAGCCCGCTGGTTGGTTCTCACGGTTCACGTGGGGTAGCAGGCCCGGGTGACGTCAACGCAGCGGGCGGAGCTCCGCTGAGTGCGCGGTGTCCGGGGCCTGTGAGTCGTCGCCAGGCTGTGTCCGGCCTGAGCCGAGCAGCTGTGCGACGTCATGGACACCTCCGGGAAGCAGGCTGAGGCTATGGCGCTGCTGGCTGAAGCGGAGCGCAAGGTGAAGAACTCGCAGTCCTTCTTCTCCGGCCTCTTTGGGTGAGCAGCGAGTGAGGCTGGGCCCAAGGCGGGGAAGAGCGGGCCCTTCTGCTCTCTGCACTTTGGGAGCCCCTCTGCGGCCTTTCAGGCCCTGGCCGTGGCCCTGTGGCTGACGACACCCGCTAAGTGGTGGCCGCGCCTTTCCCAGGCTAGTGCCCGTGGATCTGTGCGGCCCTGGCTGCCGGGGTGAGGACACCAGACCGAGGGGACCTGGGTTGAGGCGACCCTGTGCATGATGAGGATTACGAGGTGTGAGGGAGAGTGAGGCTCTGCTAAGAGTGACTGATGGCAAGGAGACCTGGACCGAGTGTTGGAGACTTGGTTGTAGGGGGCAGAAATGAACGGACAGTGACACTGGTTTGGCCAAGAAAATGGCAGTGGGAGGATGAGGCACACAAGGGAATCAGTAGGGTAGAGGCCTACTAGGTGCTCCTCAAGTCTGGGGCTTGAACACACCCAGGAGGTGGCAGATACCTCACACAAAGTTTATGCAAGTTTGCCATCTTCAGCCATATTAACTTAGGAGCAGCGTAACCCATGCTTGGGATGCGGTTCCTTGCTTTCTTTACCTTAGGAAGTAGGTTTCCCTGAAAGGGCTCATTGGTAAAAACTAACTGACTGCAGAAGTTTGTTATGAGGATAAACTATGTGTAATGTGCTCAGAATTGAGTCTGGCCCTCCGAAAGGCTCACCAGCCAGGAAGAGGCAGACTCAGAGAGTGTAAGATGCTGATGGGGAGACCTAAGATGGTAGGACTGGAAAGCTTGAGGGGATCTGGGGAGAGGGCCCCGAGCCTTGGGATGTAGGAGGGTAGGGGGAAATGGCACTACATGGGAGCAGGCAAGGCTCTTGAAGGAACAAGCAGAGAGGAGCACTGGGGAAAGGTCCAAGCAGGTGTCGGGAAGCAGGTGAGAGGGGTAGGACACAAAATCAGAAGCCTCCAAAACAAGGGCCAAAGAAGACGGAAGACTACCAGGAAGTTGGGGAAAGGCTGGGAGAAAAGCCTGGGTTCTGGGAGAGGCTGTTAGAAGCTGAGTGAGGACAGAAAGACTTGAAGGGAGGGAGAGGATGAAACCCGTGTTGTTTTCTGACAGATACTGTTTAGCAAAGGAGCTTGAAAAATGTTTGTACCTGCTGCACAGACATCCAGTTAATGATAGGCTGTGTCAGTTAGATGAGAATGTTTCATGACAGAGAGAGAGAATGAATTTCTGAGTTTCTTCAGTCTTCACAAGGGAAGAAGTTCAGGTTAGGTGTGGTGTTGGAGTGGCGCCTCCTGCCCAGTTTTCAGCAGTAGTTTTCCTGATGGCTCAGTGTCTGGCCTCTTTGCAACAGAAAGATAAGTGTAGAGTTGGGCTGCTCCCAGGGGAGCAGCTGTGTGTCCCACCTGTTTACCACTTCCCAACCACTGATAGTTCTATCAGAGCAGAACTGTGGGGTGTAAGGGCCAGTTTGTATCACATACACAAAGATTTTTGAGCTGAAAAGAAACTTTGAGAACTTGAGGGAGGCTCTTGGTGAGGAGCGAGGCTGGGAACAGTGGCCTGGGAGAGCAGTCTAGGCAGCAGGGATGGGGGAATAAAGCTCTCTCTGGTGTGACAGAGCTTCTGCTCAGAATGATGGGACAGGGACAGACATGGCTTCCCAGAGGATGGGCTTCCATGCCAGGGCTGAGCGGAAGATCTAGGGGTCTCTCAGTTGGAGAGCAGCAGAAGGGACAAGCTTGAGAAAAGGCCCAGAAGCCTGACTGCTGAAGGAAGGCTTAGTGTAGGCAGAGTTCCCAGTCAGACTGTCACTGGGAGGCTGGATGTAGATGAGCCCTGTGAGCATGGCCTTGGACTTGAGTTCTTGGGAGCCTGCAGGATTTTAGTGAGGGCCTGTTGCAGTGGCTTCCTCTTTTACCTTTTAGAAAAAACAAAAAAAAAAACAAAAAAAAAAACAGCTGAGACCTTGTTACAGTGATAGTGGATTATGCCTGCCAGTTGCTCGCTCTGCTGCCCAGCCTTGCCTGGGTCAGGCTGTCAATCTTACATAGTCCCCACAAGATCACTGTGGAGGTGGGTAAAGGATAAAGGGGGCAGTCTAAACTTGATTTATTTGTCTCGCAGCACAGGAAGCAGAGGAGGCACCAGGTAGTCAGACCTGGCCCATGTAGTTTCACACCCCCCTCCATTAGCCTAGTGCCTCTGAAGCTCAGGGACTCCAGGACACTCAGGCCTGCTTGTGGACAGTGCATATAGGGAGGGAGGGTGTTGGCAGACTAGTTTGGGGTGCTGCCTCCCGTAGACTGCTGCCTGCCCCCACAGTAGTTTTCTACAAACATTTGAAAGAACAGGTGAGTTTCTTCTGGTCATTCCAGGAAGAATAGAGGGTGTGCTATAGGAAAGTGAGCAAGGCCCACTGAACTTGGGGGCCTTGGAAGTACCCCAAGATCACCTGGAGAGAAACCACCACCACATGGGCCCTGCTCTGGCCCACCTCTTGGAACCGGGGCTATGTGGTAAACATTTGACAAGCAGCCTTCACTTAGCTGCTCTCTGGAATGTCCGTGATGAAAGCTTCCCAAGTTAAGAAGCCTCTACTCAGGTTGCATGGGTCAAGTAGGCTATTCTCACCCATCCTCACACGCCTGGATCTCTGGGCTGGTAGACACTAGGGAGCTTTGAAACACCATTTAGTTTAGGGTCAAAGCCTTTTTTCGCACCTTCCCTTGGTGAT